CCCCCCCCCCCGGGGTGATTCTTTGAGATACCCGTTTCCCACCTATGAGAAAGAGAGAGTTCCCCTAAATGCGACAGAAGCCTCCATACCAAGAATTGGAGGTAGGGTAGGAGGGGGAAAGACTGCTGGAGCCTCCTCTTGGTTTCTGAGCTAGTATCTCCAGCTTTTGAACATAGATCCCAACCTCTACACCCACTGCTGATATTCTCGTGCTGCACCCAGTTTTACTTGGCAGTTGGTTGGGAGAGACAGACTTTACTAGCAATGGACGTTTGAAAACCAAATAATTTGATAAAAAGCAGTTCATTCACACAGAATCAAGTACACTTGCTATACCATCTGGGCTTCTTCCCAAACCCCAAGAGTAGACCTTATGCTAGTCTCAGCCTGAGTTTGTCTAGTCAACTTGGACTTCATGATCAAATTCCTCTTCTCTGCTCCCAATCTTGTTGATTAGGGAAATATCAGCACAGCGATTTCATTCCATTATTAGACTATGGGTGGATTTTTAAAATATGTTCAAAGAATCTTAAAAGAGCATTTTAAATTGTCTAAATAATAAGCAATTCTCTGCAATGCACTATCAGCAAAACCATTTCCTGAACTACGGGAACCAAGACCTTTCACAAAGCGTAAACCTCATGTAAAGGAATAGAATGAGCCAAGGGTGCCTGTGCAATGCCGTCATGGGGACAAAAAAGTGTTCAGAATGGATCCCCCCATCCCAAACAGAGTAAGGCAAGCCAGCACACACTGAGAACATAGCCCTTCCTGGTCCACACACACAGCCGTCTGTAACTCACTCAGGTTCAAAGAGGAATTAGTTAAAGCATAAAGCAACATACCGATTTTTTTTCTTAAAAGGTCCGTAAACTTGAGGCTTTCATTTCTTTAAATCCAGGCATTCCAAAAATGGTACAGAAACGTGAGGGAAAACCTCAGGGATCTTCCTACCTCCACCCCACCCCCCAGACGACAGCTCCGGTATGCTCTGAACCGAGTTTCATAAGACACTTAGGTGTAACTCAATTTCACAAACCGAGCCTCCCACGGCTGACACACCACTGACATCAGCAACTCTACTGAGTGACACCTCCCCAATTCTACTCCTTCCTCCCCAAAGGGAGAGGAGGGCAAAGTTCTCAGCAGCAGATTTTCCCAGAAGAGACCTTTTTAAAATGGGGGGGGGGTGGTGGTCTGGATTCGGCTGATACTTCCAGGGAAGTCACTGGCTTTGAAACCAAGAATAAATTTCCCTGGAGGCTGTTTTAGAAAGACATTTCTCCCCAGGCTTACTCACCCTGGACATGAACAGGTTCAACAGGAAGAGCTACAATGCCGCTCAGCTGTGTTTTCCTTTGCGTCCATTCCCACACACATAAAAACCAGGGCTGGACTTGAAACATGATCTCTGAAAGCCGCCACCTCCCCCCTCTTATCACTTACAAATGTGAAACCCTAGCGCTTTGGACTCCATTCAGCATGTCCCTGCATTGAGAGCAAACATGCTCCCTGCAAGCAAAAACCCCACTTAAAAGGTGAAAGATTCAGCTTATTTGAGCATGTGAAATGATGGGACGGTAACTGAGTTTGCAAAGTAAGGTAGGGAACAAGATTGGGCTTCTAAATTTAAAAGCAGAGCCATTCATTTCCCCACCTGAAATCTTAAAAATCTGTGCAAAATGTGACTTCATATATATGACTTTAAGAGTATAAAAGTGGGTTGGAATGACACAAACTTTGTTCATACCAGCAGCTGCCTCGGGTTGACTAGTACAAGGGTTAAATGGTATAGAAACTTTGATATCACCAGTAATTCTTTTGTATTAATAAAAATAAGATGAGGTAACTATGACAAAATATTAGGAACATCAATTTAAGTGGTTTTGCGGGTACTATCATGTTCGTGGTACTCTTGTCTATTTCTCAAAACTAAAATTAAAAAATGAATATAAGTTGATCTATTTTATACAAATGTGAGATTTTCGCCTTCCAACCAGCTGGGAGGCTCCTATTTTAAACATTTCTTATTATTATCACGGTGGTTCTTATCAATGTTTGAAGATGCTAGGGAAACACTTTTAAATTGTAGCAGCACTTGATCTACCTGGCAGGCGAACATAAACTAGCTTTTCTTTTGAAATTTATGAAATTACTCGTCTATTGTGCTTTTTATTTTTGTGCTCTTGATCTTAGAGGGCCATGATGAAGCGCTAAAAACAAAAACGGAGCTAAGGTGAATTTATCTCTTCAAAGACTGCTCATGTTCCGAGTCCAGGGCTCACAGCCCTGGCTCACAGCAGGCAGCTGACCAGTGCTCATTCAGATATATTTGTGTTCCACATATACACAGTGTTCAGTGTTTTCCTTGAAGGATAAATAAGAAGCACCCTCTGGTCAAAATCATGCAGCGATTCCAGATCAACAGAGGGAGAAGGGGTGAACTGGTTAAGGAAACATCCACCATGCTGACTTCCTGGTTGGGGCCTCTGCATTCAAGAAATAGCCCATCTTCCATATAATAAGGAATACTCTAACTCACCTGAATGTTGAAGAAGGGATGGCAAGAAAACTTTCATTTGAGGTAAGAGAGCAAAGCTCTAAGGAAGGTAGAATGAAGCAAAGCATTCTTTGCATTTCTATTATTTGAGAAATAATGGAGTCCACATAGGGTGGACTATTACGGGGGAAGTGAAATAGGGTAGGACTGTTATATATATTATTGATGTGTATATGTGGAACACAAATACATCTGCAATTTTCATATTAAAACAGAAGAAAATATTTTGCCCAAACTGGAAATTTTAAGAAATTCTGGAAATTTTTAAAAAATGAAGAATTCTATTTGCCTTGCAACACAGACTTAAGAGTAGGGAACCAGAATGTTTGCTAAAGTGATCATTATACAAGTATCATTACGAGCATTAATTCGTATTTACTGCTGTTTATGTAGCACCTACTAGAAGCTATGAGTTTGAAATTCTGTTGTTAGAATTTATGCTGCCAGTATGAAAGAGAAATAGTTGTAAGGTGAAAATAAAACTACAATGAGGTATTTTAGATTTCTTTCTAATCTATGTTCATCTTGAAGGATTAGTTGTGTCCTGTGGTATCAAAGAAGGAAATAAGGAGTGATAGATGAATAATACCTGGGATTACTTTGAGATTGTAAAAGTAAATAAATAAATAGAGAAATAAAATAGTAGAAGATAAGCAACATAAACAATATTAATAAAGAGGTAACTAAGAAACTATAGTAGGAAGAAAATATAGCTTCAGGTAAAAAATCAGCTTGTCTTAAAAAAAAAAATAAAGCAGGTCAGGAGCAATGTCTCACACCTATAATCCCAGCATTTTGGGAGGTCAAGGTGGGAGGATTGTTTGAGCCCAAGAGTTTGAGACCAGCCTAGGCAACATAGTGAGAGCTTGTCTCTACAAAAAATAAATAAATAAAATAAAGTGTCAAAAATTTTAAACTGATATAGAAAATCATGGTGGAACCAAACCCTGTTTTGAAAGTGAACTTCTATCAAGTAGTATAATCAGAAGAAATTACCTTTATCTTTAGATGTAAAGGAAGCTGATGGTTTTTGAATAATTTGCCACACGTTACACTGTATTTAATAAAATGAATGTGTGGAATATTTCAGCCATTTTGTTGAAATCTACAGTCAATATTTAATTAGATCCAACCTACTTTCATAGACTTAAAGAAATAGAAAAAAATCACCTCATCCTCATCTCCACTCTACTATTACAATAGTTTGTAAATACCTGAGGCTGCTGTCAAACTGCAACCACAAAAAACTATGACGAATAGCAGAGGGATGTTTAGGAGACAAGGTAACATGTACTTCAGTATTACCTGGAGTCGTTTATTTGTTCCTTTTTAATCAACAGCTATTTCTCGAGCACCTCATATGCTTGAGGTCCTGTTCTTGGTACTTGCCGGGGAGTAACAGACAGATTCCGATCCTCTCCCTTATGGGGCTCACAGGAAGCAACCGAACCAAGTCATACTGCCTTGGTTTGCATTCTGGGATCACCACGTGTAGTTGTGTTTTCTCCCCTGCCACCCCCCCAGTTGGAGTCTCACTCTGTTGCTCAGGCTGGAGTGCAGTGGCATGCTCACAGCCACCACAGCCTCAAGCTGCTGGGCTCCGGCAAACCTTCCGCCTCAGCCTTCCAAGTAGCGGGAACTACAGGCATGAGCCACCATGCCCGGCTAATTTTTTTTTTTATTTTTATTTTTAATTGTAGAGACCAGGTCTCACTGAGTTGCCCCGGCTGGTCTTGAACCCTGAGCCAGGCAATCCTCTCACCTCTGCCTCCCAAAATGCTGGGATTACAGGCATGAGCCGCTGCACCTGGTCGTAGCTGTGTTCAATTTAGTAAGTTGCTGAACTCTCCTGAGTCTCAGTTTCCTTATCTATGAAATGGGACCAACAATGCCTGCCTCAGAGTTGTCAGAAGGGTTCAGGGAGATTACATTTGTGAAGCACTTAGCACAGTACCTGGCTCAGAATAAA